GGGAGGGCTTCTAGTGTCCTGGCCCCATTGGTGGACCTCCTGAGGGCACCTGGTATTTTTGGCCACTGTGTGACACAGAGTGTTGGACTGGATGGGCCATTGGCCTGATGCAACATTGGCTTCTCTTATGTTCTTATGAGGGAGAGGTGGGGGAGAGAGAGAGAGAGAGAGAGAATTTCCTCTATTCTCTTCATAGTGCTGTGGTAAGTTTCCCTCTGCCTGCTACCTCCCTTCAGGATTTCTTTTCTGGCACATCCTTGAGATCACCTTTCAGCCCCCTTTCCCTAAGCCACCACTTTCGGCTGCTCTCTATCCAGCCATCCTCCAAGACTCTGTGACATCTCAGTAACTAGTTTATTCCTGTCATCCCTCTTCAAGCTGCAGCCTTCTTCTCACCAAGGGGTTTGTATCAAGCAACTGTGCTGGGGTCTTCTTTGTTTTCACAGAAGATAAAACTGTTTTCAGGGAAAGAAAGAAAGTTTTCCTGAACTCCCCTCACCCATTCCTATAAACACAATATAACCAGTTCTGACACTAGGCCCTGTGTGAGACCTTTTCTTTAAAACACTCTGTGGTACCATAGCAGCTTAGCCAGTGACTGGAAGGGAGACTCTATTCCTTATCATTTAAGCTTGTTTTATCTTCTCTTTAGTCTGCTTTTCCTCTATCCATCCTCTTAGTGGCCACATCCTTCCTCAGGCGAACCTGAAACTACTATTTTTATTTGCTCCTTCCCTCCACTTCTTCCTTTTGGTCTGCTTTTGTTCTCACATCCATGACATGTACAGCTCAGAGCTTCCTGTTAACTCCCCCCATCCTCTCAGTTCTTGTCTCCATGCCTCTATAGAACTTGTCTGTGCTTATGTGAAATCACAGGACCTCAGCCAATGGTTGGGAGGCAGATCACAGAATGAGAAGCCAGTGTCTTTCTTATTACCTTAATCTCAAAATAAATGTAACACACTAACAGGAAAAAACGCACAAGGAGAAACAAACATCTTCGAATATGAAACTGTAGTGAGAGAAGATATGGAGGTCTTGGAACTTGAGGTTAGGAGCTAAATGCTGAGCTTTTCAAATGAACATCAAACAATAATAATTTCAATCTGCAGTTAACAGCCATAGTTTCAGAGCCTCAGAAGCCAGACCGAGGCATTTTGGGAAGGATGGATTTATTGAATATGGGTGCTAAACTGGATTTATGTGTATTTAATATTTTACCTCTTTACACATTTATGTTACTTATGTTACATTTGACTAGTGTTGGTATGCATGTTCTGGTATTATAATGAAAATAGAATTGGATCCCACACAAAATCCCCATTGATGGAAAGAATTTCCATCAGCAGAGCAGGATTTCTCTGCCCCCCTCCTCAGTCCAAAATAACCCCAAATATGCTGCTCCTGGGGGACAGGGAGCCCCCAAGAACAGCATGAGAAAAGAGTCAAAGGTCTGCAGCAGGAGGCAGGTATCAGTGAAAATGCCAGTGAAAATTTTTCACTGGATCCCATTGTAAAATGAAAAGATGCCTCTAGATATGAGAGAGAGATCAAAACACACAGAGCAGAGAAGTCCAAAATGCATCATGCAAGGTGGCCACCAGACACAGAGCTGATTCAGCAAAGTACATTTTGTAGCACACATTGTGCTTTGCTTGCAAACACAGCCCACTTTCCATTAACAGACTCATCCCTGAACTATGTGAAGTGGTAATGGTAAAAATGTCGGGACATACTAAGGCCTTGGGCAGTTGTACCAGAATCTCTAGACCTAGATAGTGTGTTCTCCACCTATGGGTTGCCAGGGTCAATGGCTGAAGATGGAAGTTAGAGCATGAACTACAGCAGGCTGAATGTACTGCTCTGTTTATTGGGTAAAGGCAGAAGGCCACACTCCCCCATACTTATGCTCCATGCAACCTGCTAATGGTAAGGGCTGAAGTTATACACCCTATTCCCTTCTATGTCCGAAGAGGGCTCTGACACCTAAGCGTGCACTCATTTGTGGTAGCTCAGCAGGCTGTGTCTCAACCTCAGGCCAGTAACCCAGAAATGAAAGGAAATTGCTTTAGAAGAATATTGGAACATTCGTTGAATGCTCTGGCCGTGGTACTGAACAAAGACTAAGAAGAAGAAGAGATTGGATTTATACCCCGCCCTTCACTACCGAAAGGTGTCTCAGAGCGGCTTACAAACTCCTTTCCCTTCCCCTCCCCACAACAGACACCCTGTGAGGTAGGTGGGGCTGAGAGAGCTCTGACAGAAACTGCTCTTTTTCAAGGACAGCTCTTATCAGAACTACGGCTTGCCCAAGGTCATCCAGCCAGGTGCAAGTGGAGGAGTGGGGAATCAAACCTGGTTCTCCCAGATTAGAGTCCGCGCACTTAACCACTACACCAAACTGGCCAGTTATTATTAGTGTCCATCACTGTGGAATCTTCATAAGATTTTTTTTGGGGGGGAGGGGTGTGTCTGTACCTAGCTCTGTGTGTGCTCTGTTTTCTGCAGGTACCAGACATCATGAACAACACAGGGAATGGAATGACTATATAATAGGCCCTGTCTTTTCTACCTGGAAGGACAAGTGTATCCTAAAATAGTAATAGTACTTAGCATTTACACAGCTCTTTCAGAATTCAAAGCACTTCACATGCATTTGTTGTAATCCACGTGTAAGACAGGCCAGTATTATCATTCCCATATTGCAGATGGTGGTGGGTGAGCCTGAGAGTAGCGATACAAAATTTGGCAGAATCAGAACTTGAACCAGGGGCTTCCTGCATGACACCTTATTTCCTTAGCCAGACTACATTATGCCAAACTGTAAAACGTTCTGAGCATGTCAGGGTTTGACCACTGAACCTTATGCTGAAGTACAGCAATAGAGAGAATTGGGTGTTTGAACCCAGGGAGACTGAAGCTATATTGAAGTCAGAGGAATAAAACTGTTGGCATATGGAAATTCTACGCTGAAAAGCACTATTTCTCTTTGCCGAAAAGGAGCATGAATCCAGAACTGTGCCGATGCATTTCAATCCAGGGTTTCCTTAAGATCTCAGTGCAATGCATACATTACAAGGTACTGAGAAACCTCTCGCTTTCTTTGCAAGCAATTAAAAAAAACCCCTCTTTATCAAACTAGATTGGTTGACATTGGCAGATTTGCGCACTGCCACTTTAACTTGCTCAATCTGCTGCCTTTGGAGTCCCATCGGGTTCTGGCAGAGGTGGGGCTAGCTCTGGACTAGTTGTAGAACAGCATGTATGAGTGGCTAGTTAACTGTTTCCTTCCCAGGCAAAGGCAGAGAGAAAGACATAAAGAAAGCCTCCTGAAGGGAGAGAGATTATCAAGCAAGAAAAAAGGAGAAGGAGGGTGAAAGAGAGGGGGGGCACGTTGCTTGACAGGCAGAGCCGTGCCCTGTGAATGTGGAACAAGTTACTTTAGCCCCTCATCTTAAAGCAATAGCCCTGCTCCGTGGGTTCCTTTGTGTGTGTGCATAGGGGAGGGGGGTGACACACCTAAACCCACATAGTTTTCCACTTCCAAGGGAAACTAGAGGCCCTTGTTCCTTGAAGAAGCCTGTCCGTTCATCTTCACCCCATGCATAATTCAACTCCCATATATAATGAATGCAAAGAGAAATAGCTGGTGCTGGGTACACTGGGCTGTAATAATAAGGCCAGGTGTGTTTCATCCTGTATAAATTCTTATCTTAGTTAAGGAGCATTCACGAATTAGGGGGTGGGGGGCGGAGAGATGCCATTTGCTTTCAGTTTAAAACAAAAACCTAAATATACAGTTCCTTTGGACAAAAAGAATCCAGGAAGCAGGATTTTGGTTTAGATGCTGCAATCTCAGGAGTGAATGGGTTGTTTGGTATAGTTCTGAGCCCTACATACTGTCCTGCTCCACAATATATATTCAGGAACTAAACCCCCACTGTATATTCCCATGCCAGTCTTCCTCCATTATTACCTGCTAAACATTTCAGGGTTCATTTTTCTACAATTCAATTCCCCCACTTACCATTCATTTAAGATTTCAAATCATCAGTCGAAGCATTGCCAAACACAACACAAAAACCTGACCCTCCCAAACCAGACAGAGACACACAGCGCTCCCCTTCCCCCTGCCTCCAAACCCAACAGTGTTGAAATTGCTGAAATGCAGACATAAAACACACCTCTGTTCCAACAACACCCTGCCTCCCAGCTGCTCCCTTGGGCATCCCCCAAGGGAAACAGCAACCTGCTTTTGTCTACCGACTTCACATTCTCTTCCACATTCAGGAATTTTGCACACGGTAATAACGGGCTGACATCCTTCCCTTCTGAATCCAATTAAAGCCTTTACCTTCTGTGAGCTGAATGACTGGGTCCAGTGATACAAAACCAGCCTGTCCTTGGATCGGAAAGCAGGGTGTGCCGGGTCCTGGATTCCCTCGGTCTCCATGGATTTGCCTGCATCGTTCTCCAGGGCTGAAATGGGCCACCAGCTGCAGTTGGTGGGAGTAACATTGTTGGGAGTCGCCATGACAGCCCGAGATTATGGAAGAACGGGAGAAAGGAAGAGCTGCAGCTGCTGTACTATCGAAGCATCACATGGGCTCATGGAAACAGCATCCTTGCCGGAGCCGAAGGGCTTGAATTTCATTACTCACTCCGGATTGGCACAGGGAGCCCAGGGCAGCAGGATCAGAAGCAGCATCTGGTTTGAGAAGAGAAGCAGGGGTGTAGCTGTGTGTGTGCGTGTGTGCTAAATCAAAACCTCTTTACAGCCATGGCAAGGTTGCCACTGAGGCTGACTGCTGCACTGCTCATGCATTGTTCCAATCACAGACACAACAGAGAGTCTGTGCCACCTGACGACAAACCTGAGCATCCACACATGACTGGAGGGTCTTGCATCTTATTAACAATACAGGAGAGCCTTCTTTGATTAGAATGGCTTCTGGCAGGAAAGAAACCAACATGTCGAGACCATCCAGTATCCAGATAAAGGGGACTGATGTTTACCTAAGGTTAATTCCGCTTCTGTGGGTAGGCAGATCCAGAATGCTGATATAATTTGTTTCCTCAGTCAGAAAGTCAAATTATGCAAATGAAGGCGGATTTTTGCTTAACACTCGTGTATTGCTGTCTTATTGAATCTGAGAGTGTTTTCTGACCTTGACATTTTTTTAATTTCAGGTTTGAAGGTCTGGTGACTGACGACTGGTGTTCAGGACTTACAGAGAAATATCAGACAAATTCACAGAGGATATTGCCTTCCCTTGGCTAGTAGCTATAACAACTAAATGGAACATCCATGTTCAGAGGCAGCATACCTTGGAGTGCTGGGGACGACGACAGGGGATGAATTCCAACACCAGGTCCTGCTTGAAAGCTTCCAGAGGAAGCTGGTTCAGTGCTTTTAGAGTACACACGGGTGCCCCAGGCGTAGATGCCACTGGGCAGGTGTTTTTCATCCCGCTTCCCCACAGCACTGTGATGCTTTCATGAATCTTCTGGGTTTTTCCATCCTTCCTTTCTCAAACCTGCCTTGCAGGAGTGTTTCGAGAAAGATCAACAAGACCATGTGGATGGAAAAGTCCCCAATTCTATCCCCATCGGGGCCATTCCCCCTGCTCTGTCCCCTGGAGCAGTCACTGCCCCAAATGGCTTAAAATGGCAGTTACAGTATTACATCACTATAACAGTCTGTCTGTTAGGTTCTGTGAATCCCCAGCTTACGTTTCTGAGAAACTAAGTCTTTTGTTGTAGACATACCTTTCCCCCTATATCTCCACAACAAAAGGTGATAGAGACTTGCTTTTTAAAAAACGAAAGTATGGAAAACCTGTAGGCAGATTGTTATAAAGTTACCACCAGGCTATAACCATCTGTCCACTGCCAATTTTAAAAGCCCTGCGGTGGCAAAGGGGGAGTGGTTACCATGTGTGGGGGCTGGGGCAGGGAAAATGTGGAGACACCTCCCATGTGAAAGCCCCATGGCCACTATGCCATATCAGCACCCACAGCAGTGGTGGTGGGGGAAACCATACAAGCCTGCTCCTAAGTGGAAAGCTGCTGCAATGCTCCCTCTAAGCTGTGGAGTCTTGGGAGCAAAAATTCTACTTTGTGAGCTACTGACATTAAAGTTGTGAGCAAGCGATTTGGCTACTGCATAAATTAGTTTGCTCTGGAGCCATCCTTCCCGAGCTAAGGCAAAAAGGTGTGAGCCGGAGGCTAAAATACTGTGAGTTAGCTCATACTAACTCAGCTTAGTGGGAACGCTGCCTGCAAGTCTGTAGCCAGACTCTGATCTTATGAAACAATTTTGATTTTCTTGCGAGGAAAATAGGAGATTCTCTCACATTGTTCATCATAGGTGCACCCCCCCCCCCAACAGCCAGATTTCTCATAAACAATAACGGCACCTGAGCCACAGTTGGAGGGATCAAAGTCAAGGCTGAAACAAGGAAGTAGTCAAACAGGCATCACTGCAGTAGTGAGAAGCCTGGGAAAGAACCAAGAAACAGAGAGCTGGCCAAGGATGACGATTCAGTCCAGGGCTGGGAGATGTCAGGATCAAATACTTCTTGGAGCAAAGAAACCGAACAGGGCAAGCAGAGCAAGAACTGCGCGAGGCGGGTATCCTACCAATCCACTCAGGCAAGTTTGAAGCCTTCCTCTGGTCTAAGGAGCCTTCTTCCAATGTAGAATAACTTGAAGTCACTAGAGGAGCAGTCCAAATAGCCCAGCTTAGCCAGGACTTGTACTTGGATGGGAGACCACCAAGGAAGACTGGGATTGCTCTGCAGAGAAAGGCAACGGCAGACCACTTCTGCTCATCCCTTGCCTGGAACGCCTCAAGGAAGGGGTTGCCATGAGTCAGTTGAAACTCCACGGTGTGTTCTCCTGCTCTTCTAACTTGAAGGAGGAAAGTTTCAAACTTTACTGAGCAGAGTGGTAGGTTGCATGATGGAAGATCTAGAGCAAAGATGGGCACACTTGGGGCCCAAGCATCATGTCCGGGGCTCCTCCTACTTTCCAGGCTCTGACTTGGACAATAGCTTCCCACAACTGCATTTTGCCTTTTAAAAAGGCTGAGTAGATCCCATTCAGGGACATTCTAGTGTTTTGGGTAACCTGGCCATTTTTTATTGGATTGTTTATTGCATCTCTGGTTGCACGGCCTGGGGCCTGAAGTCATGGAGGGGAAGACATTTTTGTAAAGGGAACAGGGTGAAAGTTTTGAAGCCTCTGAATATTTAGGCCATTTTTATTGCATTTATTGTATGCCTTCTACTGTTTTTCTTGCGCTGTTTTCTAATTCTGTAATTTAGCTACATTGCATTGTTTACTGGATGTATCTTACTGTCATTTCCCCATTGTTCCGTCTTTTGTAATCCAGTTTTTATGCATTATTTTGTTACATTGTTTTTATTGCATTAGTCTTTTAAATCATGCAAACTCAGTAAGAAAGGCAGACTATAAATGAAGCAAGTAAAAACACCAAGTAATAAGATTCCTACATACCTTAACTAAATGGAACATCCATTTAGAGCCAATGTGGTGTGGTGGTGAAGAGTGGCAGACTCTAATCTGGAGAACTAAGTTTGATTTCCCACTCCTCCTCCACATGAAGCCTGCTTGGTGACCTTGGGCCAGTCACAGTTCTCCCAGAACTCTCTCAGCCCCACCTACCTCACAAGGTGCCTGTTGTGGGGAGAGGAGGGGAAGGCAATTGTAAGCCACTTTGAGACTCCCTAGGGTAGAGAAGAGTGGGGTACAAAGACCAACTCCTTCCTTCTCCCAGTCCAGTGGGCTGGGAACAAGCACAGGAGACTCCTCCTCAGTCCAACCTAACAAGGGTTTAATAGGCCCCTAGGCCCTCCCACTTGGGGGACAATGGGAGATCCTTCTGGTCCTTCCCCTGTTGCCCTTGACAACCAGACTGCCATTCTCTCTGCAAGCCTCTCCAGGTTGCCAGGGTGAAGACTTGACCAGTTAGGCCTGGCAACAGGGCCGCCACATCCGTCATCCAATAACATGGCAGCTGGCTCACTACAAGTGGAGGCCACCCTCACACATGTTCTAATAAACTCTGAGGGCTTAGTGCCTGCCACTTCTCTTGGCCAGGCCCACAGATCCACAACATTACTATACTACACCAGTTCAGAATGGAGCAGGCAGAGCTGTCAGATAATTATAATGCATGCTATGTGTAATGTATCCAGATGCTGCCCTGAATGCATTAGGAGGTAAGTGTGAATCATCCCATGGAGAAGCTATGTTAAGCTTCAGGCTTCGGCAGGGATTCGCGCCGAAAGTATTGTGTCCAATCACATTTGAACTGTCTGTGGTGGGAACGTTTGTGATTGGGCTGTTATGCGAACAACCTGATAGGTTGGTACTTGTACAGTAGGTGTGGCTACATTAGCCCGGAATGTTTAAATACCGAGCAGCTGAAATGGACAAGCTGTTCGGGCTATGAGGAGTTGTACCGTGTTAGAGAAGTTGATTATCGAGCTGAATAAACCTGAGTTTTGCTGAAATCACTCTCTGACTATTTTGTTAAGTACCGACTTAACACTATGATTCTGCAAAAGCAGAGAAAAGCCACCAGATAGGATACTGGTACAGATTTCACAATACAACAATAGCTGGTATTCATATAGTGCGTTTGGTCTTCAAATAATTCACATATGTTGTAATCCTTACTACAGCACTACAATGTAGGCCGTTATTAATACCCTCATATATAACGGGGGGGAGTGTGTGTATGTGTGGAGGAGTATGTCAAACTGTGAGAGGGACTTGCCTAGAACTACCAACTGAATTCTTGACAGAGGCGACCCTTGGTTTAAGGACCTCCCTGGTCATTGTATTAGGGACAAATAACATGTGTTTGGATCCCTAGATGTATATAAAGAGCAAGGAAGCCAATGTGGATTGGGGCTGCAGCACTGGAGAAGGCCCCCCCCCTTTCCCAACGGGCAATGCCCCTCCAAAGGCTGTTTTTAGCCCCAGAAATGGGGGTGGGACAACATGTTATCTATACTGTCCCTCCCTTCTTTTTTTCTATAGTGGCTTAAAGCAGATAAGTCATTGGGGGAAAGGCATGGAGAAGAATTAAACGCCCCTTCTCCAGTAAAAAGGTAAAGGTTCCCTTGCTCGAAAGCCAGTCAAATCCGACTCTAGGGTTGCGGTGCTCATCTCCGTTTCAAAGTCGAAGAGCCAGCGCTGTCTGAAGACGTTTCCGTGGTCATGTGGCCAGCATGACTCAACACCAAGGCGCACGGAACGCTGTTACCTTCCCACTGAAGTGGTACCTATTTATCTACTTGCAATTTCTTGCTTTCGAACTGCTAGGTTGGCAGGAGCTGGAACTAGAGATGGGAGCTCACTCCGTCATGCGGCACCCGGGTCTCGAACTGCTGAACTAGCGACCTTCCACAGCCTGCAGTTCAGCGTCTTAACCACTTGAGCCACCGCAGCTCCTTCTCCAGTACCAGGACATATTATGGGCCCTTGGCCATAGCTTCTTTT